TCTTTCCCTTTTTCACCTGTGTTCATCACCTCTGTAACTTTCCTCTGTAACTGCAGTTTTTTGCTTGGTACCTTCTAAATTGGTAACTTGCATGCCTGTGATACGTGCATCTCTTGCTGGGGATGGCTGCCTAAGTCCCCATCTTCTGTGCCCTACCTCCTACTTCTAGTGACACTGCAGCGGTCAGACGGTCTCCTGACCAGAAGATGACAGTTTAGGTTGGAAAGCTTTCACCCACTGGCAGAGCTGCACATTTGTCTCAGCTAAACAGAATGCCTAGGCAGTTACTGCACTGAACTGCATTCTGTTAAAAATGTTTGCTCTCAGCTCATGACCCTTCATACCTTTGTGAAAGTGAGTCTCAGAGGGATCTATTGTTATATTTGGTAGCTTTAAAATGTAACTGGTTTATTGCAGTGCTGTGATCTTAAGGATATCAGGCTTGCCTATCGGTTAAATAAGGCAATGGAGAAGGGAGACAACTGGAAATTCTTGGACATGGTTCGGTTAAATGCCTACTGGTGAGTGAAGTGCAGCTTACATTCAGCATCTTATGTATTGTTGTCAATTTAAATACAAACTAGGATTCGAACATTGTCTGGAAGGATGCTTTGCTGAACACCAGCTGGTTATTATATGTGCAGTTTGGGAATTAGGTCCCTCTTCAGAACAAGTGATAGCTTTAAAATAATAGATTTATTTTCAGTTTGTGGCCTTGCCTGAACTGAAATAAAGTGTCTTAGAGCATCAGTTTAGCTTAATACCCTTTGAAAACTATACCAACCAGCTGTATTTTCTACAATCTTGTTGTCCACTTAGGAGCTAACACCAAAATGGCATACAGGTCAGGCCTAGCTCTCTGCTTGGTGTTGCAGAGAGAGGTTGCAGTGCAGCAGGTGTATTTAGGCACAAAACTCCTGTGTAGTTCCACCATTTGAGACTGTAATCATGGCATCTGAAACATCTTTACCAATGTAATTAAGTGCTACAGTCACTGAATGTAATTAAGTACTTGGAGCATACTGATTTGAAGAAAAGCCTGTTTAGGCACTGAAACGAGAAATGCTGCAGTAAATTAATGAAAAATAATTATCAAAATAAGGTGCAGTTTCAGGGGCGGGATGATTCATATGATTTTACCTTATTTAGCCTGGAAATAAATCAAGGGAAATTATTGGAAATTAATTTCTTGATGTAAGGACATTTTTCCTAGTTAGTGCATTGGATCAAGGTCCCAGGCTTGTATTGTGAACTTGCACAAGTAACAAGGTTAATTTAGTTCACGTCTTAAAGTTGTTCTTAACCAGAGATGGCATTTGAGACAGATTCAGATACCTCAAACCTGTCGTCAGGCATTTTTTCGGGATTTTAAAATGTGATGATCTACCTTATAATTAATTCTGCCAATTACCTACTGTCAGCATTAAGTTCTCTCAAAGTGCCACAGCTTTTTTAATTGTATGGAGTATTGCAATCACACAGTAAAATTTCCCTGATCTGCAATACAAATTTGATCAGAACACCATCATTTGCTGTTGCATCTGTATGGTTTAGTTGATCTAATCATTACTGAATTAGAACATTTTTCCCCTCTCTAGGTCAAAATTCTTTTCATTGTTGTGTATGATGGAACAAATTGATGTTGTCTTGAAATGGTACAAAGAAATGTCCCCTTCGGTAAGTGTGTATTAGGGTAAGCAAGCTTCAAAGCTTTAGTATGGAGAAACAGAACAGTTACAGTTTACTGAAATGATTCTCTTCCTTCATCAGCTCTTCTATCCAACTCCTAAAAATATATTGGACCTCCTTCAAGCACTGGATGCAGCCAACCACTTGGAAGCGATCCCTTCAGTCTGGGAAGGTTAGTGATAGCCGTATGGCAGTTTGTTTGATAGAAGTCAGGAGCAATGCAAAGTGGGAGGTAGTCGGGGAGTGCTCAGATGATGAGGTGCTTCGGTATGGGGGACATTATTCCTTAGCACAGTGGTGGGGCTTAGGGAACCGATAGCACAGACTGTCAGAGAGATCGTGACTGTGTCATAGTTCAGCATTGGTGTCTTGGAAAACTGAATGCTTACCAGAGACTAGTACCTTAACCAACAGCCCAGTTTTAACTCATTTAAATTATGTTGCCTGTTCTTTGCCCCTTAAGAAGAGGAGACAAGAATGCAGATACAGGCTTCAGCACACAAAGTATCCTCACCCAACATTGAGGGGACAGACAGGTTCTTTTAGGGATCCTTGGCAGAATGATGACAGCACTAATTAGTAGTTACAATTAAAGCTTTATTTTCTTAACAGGATTTTATGGTTAGCGTAGTATAGAATTTATAATCAGAATAGCACAGGATTTCTGTAAGCAGAATCAGTCTAGTACAATTTTTAAGTAGTGTAATAGAGAATTTTATAGCACTGCTTAGCTTACGGTTTCTAATCGCCTGGACTCTCTGCAGATCAGGTCAAGTCTTAGTACATAGTTTGTTGTATCAACATAAAAATCATAGTCTAGCCTCAAAAAAAAAAATCTAAAAGAATGAGTCACCACTCAGTCCTTGGAGGAAACAGAAGACAGTAGATGTGTCCCTGGCCACCAGGGGGTCATGGGTCTCACTGTCCAGCAGCAGTTCAGATCCGAGTTCCCACTTAGGACTTGTAACTACTTGATTTTATAGATAGCGCTCTGTGTGCTGTTACCTTCCCTGTTTTCTGATGGAGTCATCACCACCACTGGGTTGGCTGGGTGCCTGGGACCTTTTAAGGCCATTAATAAGGGAAGTAGTCAGCCTGGCACCCAGGAATCTTGAGGCTGGCAGGGAGAGAAAGAAGTCTGTTTGGTTCATATACTAGGTGCACAGGACCTTCAGGGCCTGATAATGAGGGGAAAGGGAACTAATAGGTCACCTGCTCAGTCACAAAGAATGACCATTCGCCTTACAAAATGGCGTTAGTTATGGCTGATCATATTACCAGGAATTGGGAGCAGGGGGAACCCGTCACACATACTAACTACTGCCTTTCTCTAAACAGATATGAAACAGCTGGGGTTTAATAGGAAACAAGACCTGTTGGAAGAGCTCTTGTCTTTGATGAGCAGGGACCAGCACCCTGATGAGGTAAAGCAAAAGCCGCTCATGCAAGCAAAGCCAAGCGAGGAATTAATTCAGGACTTCCCAGCGGCAGGCAAGGGTTCAGCCTTCTCCAGGAAAGCAGGGCTCCATCATGTGTGATGGTTACTTGGGAAGACAAACACCATCACTCCGAACATCCCCCCCTTCCTTCTTCTTCGTCCGAGCTTTATACGCTGAGCATGACGTTGTATGGTGTGGAATATCCCTCTGGTTAGTTGGAGTCAGCTGTCCCAGCTGTGTCCCTTCCCAGCTTCTTGTGCACCCCCAGCCTTGCTGGTAGGGTGGGGTGAGAGACAGAAAAGGCCTTGGCTCTGTGTAAGCACTGCTCAGCAGTAGTGAAAACATCCCTATGTTATCAACACAATTTTCATCACAAATTCAAAACAAAGTCCCATACAAGCTACTGTGAAGAAATTTAAGTCTATCCTAGCCAAAACCAGTACTGAAGCTTAGTGAAAAGAGTACAGATGTCTCCCCGTTTCTGCATACAGACTGTATTTAAGTCCTCTTTTATTGTCCCTGGTTGGTCTTACAGGTCCAGTTTCAGTGCATATGCCATTACAAATTTCCAGATCTATGTGAGCTTTTCAAGGCCTCCTAAGCCCTTTGGATTGTCTCCAACCTGTAGAGAAACCTCAGATTAACACAGAAGAGGATCACTTCCTTACCAGGGTTTGGAAGAGTACTCCAGCCCAGCCAGCCACATCTTTGGGGAAGCACGGGACAGAATTCAGGGATTTTTACCAAAGATGACATTGCAGTAACTGGTTTCTCGAGCTGAAGAGGGTTAAAGGCTTATGTGTACTGCAGAGGTCTCTGAGGTACAGCTGTCCCTGCAAAGCTGTCTTGGGTACAATTGTCCTGACAGAAGTGAGAGGTTTTTCTGCCAGGGGTAACCACTGTTCATTCACAAACTTAAATCACATACAGGGCAGACCTGTAGAATCCATAGGAGGAATTGCACTGAAAAGTATACATTAGTTCTACAGGTTTTGGGATTAATAGCACAATCTTTTTCACAGATTCAACTGGCGTTTGCCAAGTGTGCTGAAGACATCAAAGCTGCCCATGAGCAAACCGGGAGGGAGCAAGCCCCGTTAGAATGGACGGGCCATGCGCTGGGCCATGTTGCTGTGTTGTTTTCCAGGGCTGGGAGAACCCAGGACGCTTGGTATGTCCATGGCTGTCATGAGTTCTTGGCTTGCTGACACTGTTAACTCAAGGCTTAATCACAAAAATCAAAAGCTAACAACCGATTGCCTTGGAATGCTAGCGCAGACAAAGGGAGGGGATAAATCCTGCTGGGAATGTGGTGGGGTTTTTTCTTAATTTTATTTTTCATTCTTGGCACCAAGTTACAGTTGTCTGACTTAAAAATGGTTTAGAAGTTAATGTAGCGACAGGCTTAGAGCATCGTTACAGCTGCTTATGACAAGGTAGGGTTTGATTATCACTTGACTAAGCACTGCTGATTTCCTACAGCTTCCCATTTTCTAATTTTTAGAACTCTTCGGAATTCAAGCTGCTAAGGAGATTAACTAGAGTTTAATTAAGCTTTTAATTAGAATTAACCTGAATTAAAACTCTGAAGAGAATATTTTTAGAACTCTCCAGTAGCTAGAATTTACTGTCCTACTTGCTCTCAACTTGAAATACTGGTTAAAATATCTAGCCTTCAATTAAAGGTTCTGAGGTATTTCCTGTTAAATACAGATGTTCTCTTTGCACTGATTCATTTGAAACAAAGGAGTGGCAAGTACACTTCTAAAAATACGTTAATATTTTAAAGTAGATTTGCCACCAGCTACACTTTTTTTCTGTAGTAGTTAAGATATTTTATGTTAAAATGTTATGTGGTGTTAGCTGGTACACTTTGCATCTGTGAGAACACGGCATGGATCTGTTTCAGATCTGTGGGGAAGATTGTTTCGTGAAATTGAGCTTGCCTGTGTTTCAGTGGAGCTTATCCAAGAGATTTAATATCTGTCCCTGTGTGTTGTTGTGTTTGTTAATTATTACTTTGTTTTCTTTTGAACAGGAACATGATGCAGCGCTTCCAGCAAATTAATAGAATTCCCACGTGAGTACTTTTAGGTTCTGTCTTCAGATACTGAGTCTCCCCTGTGGCCGAGATCTTGCACTGCTATAATAGAATCATAGAACAGTTTGGATTGGAAGGGACCTTTAAAGGTCACCTAGTTGAACCCTCAATTATAACTGACAGTAGTGGTCCATATCTTATTGTTACTTCTGAAGTGTGAATGTGTGTGTCTGTCCCTGAGAGCACAGGTGTTTATCTAACTGATGTGTTCCAAGACCTTTCTGTCTCAAAAAATGTTGAAAATGCAAAGAGGGGGGTTTAAAGTGCTTGATCCTTGAGATGTCATTGAGTGGATCTCTGGGACATGGAGAACAGTGCCACTGATTAACTTGGAATTATAAATTAGTCTAAGCAGGACTCTTGAGAACATCTCATTTCCCATGTGCTCAAAAAAATTTGAATATGCTATTAACCAAGCATAGGTGCTTCAGAGGTGTCTGCATTTCTGAAGACAAGTTTATCGAATCTTATGTGATACCCTGTTAGGCTACAACAGTTAGAATTTTTTCCTCGAAAATCCTGAGAAAAGCTATTTGAAGTAGGAAACAACTTTTAAGGAATAGTAATGCATTTAAACAACCAAGCAAGCAACCAAACCCAAACAACTGCTTGGTGCTCACAGAAATGAACACCTTACATCTTATGTTGGAGATGGAAATTCCACCAAGAGGCACAACGTTATCTGTGGCTGCCTGCACCAGTGAGGGCATGTGGTACCGCAGGCAGCTGTTCGTGGCACTGTGTGCTCGCCCTGCTCTGCAGACTGCCACTGGTGTGGCCCAAGGAAGCCTTGGTGCTGCCAAGCCACATCAGAGCCCCTGTCTCAATTTGGGGAAGGGGAAAAGGAGAAGAACTCTCCTTCTGACATCCTGGTGTAGCTGATAGTTTGTGGTTGCCATGGGTTATGAATGTGAAGGGAAGGAAAGTAGTTTTCCCTGCTGTTACCAAATGGATCAGAGGCTTTTCTGTTTGAACTGTCCCCTGCCTTCCCTTCTCTGCCAAGCTCCCTGCGGCACCAGCTGCAAACACTTAACATGTTTCCCTGCCTAAAGGTGAGAGAGGTGTCTCCAGCATCTGTCACAGGTGATGAAGGAGCAGAGCCAGCACTTCAACATGGAATAGAGCTGGCAGAGCAGAGCCAGCTGTCAGCGGCTCCAGTGCCCATAGACAGCATGGCAGCCTCTGGCAGTGAGACGCCTGCCTTTGATTTAAAGTGCTGTTATACTGTTTCTTTATCTCTGCCAGCCATGTAAAAGAGGGTGAGGGCCTGATGTGGGCACTGTGAAGAGTGGAAGGTTGTGGCATCCTTATCCTGAGCAGTGGGTTTCTTCCCTCTGCTGTTGTGCAAGGAGAAGTATTGCTTTCTGCTAGGATAGGAGTTCCCAAGCGCCCCAACTCAGGGCCGAGGTGAAATTCCTAATGGCTTTGGCAGGAGCAGAATTGGGCTGGTTGAGTGACCTGAAAATCTGTCACCTCCTCTCCCTCTCTAAAGCACCTGTGTAAGTTAATGGCCATCTTACCTGGGGCTCTGTGAATAGTCACTCTTTGCCTTTGCTTTTGCAGTGACCAGGTGATGGATGAGTTCTTGAACTGTGCTAAACAAACCAATTGCCCAGATGAGGCAATTAAGCTGGTAAAGCTGGCGGTGTCCCTCGGTCTTCCTTCATCTCAAAGGCTTAAAAGCAGAATGGAGAAGGAATTTGAACTCTCTGAAAAGCAGAAGTAAGTTGGAGTACTTCATGTTACTGCTGAAAGGGTATAGTAGAGACCAGGTGTTGGAGGGCTAATTCCTCCAGAAAGGTTTCTCCACCAAGGTGGCTTCAGAATAATGTGCTTCTGTGTTGACTCTGGTCAATTCACAGCCCCAAAATAACCCCTCAGTTTTTGGTTCCATGCTGTATCAGTCCCACTTAGGAGGGAAGGTAACTTTCCATGATGGAGTTAGCGTTATCCACCATTCTAATCTGCTATCACCTTTTTTTCCCAGAAGCTTTTCCTAGCTGGGTCTGGCCTCCTAAAAGACAGCGATTGCAAGCTAGTAAAAGCCAGGAAGTGGTACAGGATGGCCCTGCATGTGGCTGCTGGGGTCTGAGGCTCGTGGTCAATCTTCAGTACACCGGGCCAGCCACTGTAGTTCATTTCTGAGCTGACACAGCCAAGCTCAGACAATGGGCTTAGCCTTGAGGACCACAGTTTGGAGCCAGTAGACTGGTCTAAGGGAATGAATAGATGGAAATCCAGCACCCTTGACAGCTGGCCCACCACTTAATTGGAGTGGTGAATTGAAGTCTGCTTTTCTGTAAGGAGGTGGGTGTGCTTCTACCAAATGCTGGGTGGACCTGTTCTTTGAGGGTAGTAGGCATCAAGCCAGCCGATAATGTTCTCTTTGGAGGGGATTTACCCTGTGTTTTGGGTATCTCTTTTCAAGCAAAAGCCACAGTCAGGTGACTGATTACTGGACTGTTTTCCATCTGCAGGAAGACATTGGAGAGTATCAAGTCAGACAGCAACAGCAGCGATAGTGACAGTGACAGCGACAGCGACCGGGACTAGCTGTCCCTCTTGTCTTCCCCTTGGGAAAACTGGGAGCAACTGCTGCCTCGATGCCAGGAGGCCTCTGTGAGAAGTGAAGTCACTGAAGGGACAGCTTCTGGGAAGTGCTGCAGCACTGCTAAGCTCCCATACGGGACCTGCTTGGCAAGAGTACGTTGTCCTCATTGGAGCAAGCTAGAAGCTGTCCCGTTTAATGTTCTTGGTCCCTTAACACAGTGTGCACTATGCCAACGCAGTCTCTTCCACACCACTGCCTGCATGAGCTAGCTCCTGCCTGCTTAAACAGCATGGCTGTGGTACTGGAGGGCTGCCCCGAGAGGAGTTCTGCTTCCTGGAGGCTGCTCGACAGCTACAAGACTTTCACAGCTAGAGCAAGACTTATCTTGGACCTGCTGCAGCATAAACCTGCGCCGGATTTAATTCCTTTCCAGCTAACTTTAATGAACTACTTAAATATGAAGTTTACTTTGTATGTAAATGCTCTAAGTAATGCAGTACTCATCACCTGTGGTGTTGTTATCCTTTTCGGTGTTTTAGAACAGCCTTTGGACTGTACATGTTAAAAAGCTACACTTTGTACAGCTGGAGACTGCATCTAATAAATGGCTGACACTAAATACAGCTGTATTCTGATAATCCCCACACAAAACCTGTTGATTACAAAGTGTTGCTGCTGCTCCATGAGAGAGTAAGTAAAGTTCATACAGAATACAGCAAAAAGGCTAACGAGGTGACTGGGAAGATAGGTGACTGTGCTGTCCTGTTCTCAGCTTGTAGAGGAAGCTTCAAGGGGTTTTTCTGAGGTAGTTACCTTGACCAGGCACCAAAGGTCTTATTCCTGAGAGAACTGAACCTGATTCTAGTGAAAAGTAGTTAACAGTTGATTCTCTTTGGGGAAAAATAAAACCATGATGTGCATGATGCTGCAGGACAAGAGCGAGCACAAAGCAGCCTGGGGATAATTTGGTAATGAGTTCAGGAACCAACAAACAGCTGCTGGAGGAAGAACAGACTGCAGCTGAAACGCTAGAAGTGAGGTGTTCCTCACAGTGCAGGAGTAGTAAGGCTGTTCGAAGGCAAGGTTTGCTCCAGAAAGCAAACATGCCGGTTCCAGGAATGCGGGACTAGTACAGGGGTAGATCAAAGATAAAGAGCTTTTGGCAGTGGTGTTATGCGCTTTGCTTTACTGTACCAACAATTTAAAAACTGGATCAGCAAGTAGACAAAACCACAGTTACTCATTTCAGCAAGTGAGCGCTAACTAAGTAAGGTTGATCCATCTTTCTTCACTGACGGTAAAAATTAAGGGAAAGGTAAGAACGGGAAGGAAGGAAGGAGCTTGGTCTACATGAGCTCTCATGGTTGTACCAAAGTCTGGCTTCTAGGTAGAAGTCCACCAGAATATAGGGCTAGCATAAGTTATGTCTACATAACCTGTACATGGATTTTTTTTTTTTACGGCTATTCATTAATTTGTATGGACACATTGATCACATCAGTGAATTCTTCCTCCTTGAAAGGAGTAAAACAGAGATAAGTTTTAACTTCAGGTCATGGAGAAAGGCTGTTCTCATACTGCCCAGCTGTATTTAATGTTTAAAGAGGAGACTGAACAGCAGGAGAAAGTGGTTGAAATCTTGTTTTATTTAGCTGACAAAGTGGCAAATCATTAATGGTAGGTTACAAACATTATTTTGGTTGGATCACAAGCCCACATGGTAAGATGGGGAAACAAAATTCTTACACAAATTGTAGAGAAGCTTCCTGAAGTTGGTCGTCATGATAACTCAAAACCAATACAAATACAACAGGTGGTGAAGTTAAATACAGTGCAAGGAAACAAGACGGTACCCGTGCTTTTAACACTTCCAGCCCCTACCACCAGCTTGGTTTGCAACCCTTGGGATATCATGGGATTTCTTTCCGGCACAAACAATTGCTGAACTGCCTCCAAACATAGCTCACTGCACTTGAGTTGTTCCTAACCCCACAGCACTGGCATATGCTGTCAAGATATCCACAATTTGTTTCGTTTCTAGGGTCATTCGAGCTTCGCTCAGCCAGTCGTGTGCCACTCTCCTAGACTCTCCTCTTAACTGGTTGACAAATTTAGCTGCCAGCTCCAGATCTCCGTGTTCAATGCAGTATGAAGCATAAGACAGTAACTTAAACGTATCGAGGTCGTCAGGGCTGAGCTCAGCAGGTGGCTTCAGCTGTTGAGGGTGAAACACAAGCAGCGACTGCAGGTAAGACAGGAAGTATTGATACAAGCTGTTTCTCGTTTCATCGATCATAGCCACTCTTTTTGCCAGTTTTTGGACTGTGTAGAAGCGTGCTCTGAGGGCCTCTTCACTGTATACTCCCCGCGTCAGGGATTCCTGAGGGAGAGCTGCTGTTAAGGCTTCTGTAAATGCGTTGTCAGAACAACTGGCTTTGATGGCCTTCACCGCGCTCTCCAGTGGTTCTGTGGGACTATCCCCAGAGGCTGTTTTCATGCAATATTTGAGGGCTTCAACAGACAGCCACAGCTGATGGGCCTTTCTGGCTTCTTCCTCGGCTACTGCATGACCTGCAAAATAAGCCAAAAAGAGGACACTCAGCTGGGCTGCACATGCATGTCCTGTAGGACGAGTTTTGAACACAAGCAGCAAAAGCCATTCCTGTGAACACCCCGCTTTCAAAAGCGGCTGCCCCCTCAGCACTTGATCTTAACCCAAGTCTCTTCCGCAATTCAGGGTCAGAACTTGTGGAGATGGGATTTGCCAGGTGCTCAGCAGTGCAGCAAACACAGGCCCACGAGCTACGTGCCTAAGCCTGGGTTTAGGCACCCAGGTTTGGGTAACAGGCCTTTGGGGATCACAGCTCTAGTCCTTAAAGAAATGCGGTTTCATGCTCACTCTCAACTGCTTGCTCAATTCCTTTCAGTCTGGCGTAGGCAGTGTTTATATCCAACGTGAAGTTGTCGAGCTGTTCCTGAGTAAGGCGTCTGAATTGCATTTCTTGTTCGCTGAGTTTCTCTGATAAGTTCTGAAACAGAGCAAGATACAAAACAGCTGTTTCCAGTCTGATAACTTATTTTTAAGTTACGTTTCTATAAATCTGTTGTTCTTGCTAGGGATAATGCCTATAGTAAATACAATATACCAGTAAGAAGCCTTATTAGGGTGAATTTAACAGTGCACTTGTAACTATCAAAAATTTCTCACCTATTGCAAACCCTTTTAAGACAAGTCTGAATAAAGCCTACACGTTCAGGCACTTTTTCATCTCTTCAAGATGAGCAGCCTTCCTGCCCGAGCCTGCATTTTGGGCTTCTGGAAGATGGATCACAAGTCTTGTCCTGTGAAGTGTATGCTTTGCAAGGGTTCAAATATCCCTCTAATGCCCTTGGGGATTCTTCTCCCTTACCTGCTCAAATTCCACCTTTAGTTCCTGTTCCTGGATCTTAAGAACATCTCTCAGATGGTCAGTGTGGGCAGCAGCCTGCCGCCGGAGTTGGGTCCTCATTTCGCTCTCCATCACCTCTCGGACTTCTTCAACCTGTACGCACACAAGTGGTTATTACACCGCTATTTTTCAACTGCTTGTCACACGCTCTGATTATATCATCCATCAGTGATTACCTAGGGTACGTTTTATAAAAGTGGCATTGACAGAGCCAGTGTTTCATTTTTAGAAACTGCCAAGGTCCACTTTTATAGCTGAGCCTTTTCCTAAAGACTTGAAAGAATAGCTTCACAGTGCCAGTTAACTGCTGCTTATACTCACTAGGCACTTAGTGCAGTTATCAAAATACTATATAAAAGACACAGTAACATGACAAACTAAACACTCCGGTGTTTATAAACCAGTTTCCAAAGAAAACAGGCTCTGACTTTTTCACTACATGTTGTAATACTGTCCCAGTTGGACACAGTTTAATTAAAATGGTAATATCCCTTTTACTTCATCTTGTATAAAACAGCCACTTTAGAGAGCACAGGGTAGCACAAGGGGGCACAGGGAAGGCTTATTTAGGAGCAATTTAACATTTTTTTGGTTTTCTGTTTGGTTTGGGTTTTTTTTAAAGGATTGTGTCATTTCGAACCTTCCATTAAATGCAAAGATGACAGTTCAAGCAACTTCTAAAAAGATCTCTAAATTAATACCTGTCACTGCAGTGCTTTGAACTAACAGGCTGTAGGTGAAATCCTTAGTCTCCCTCATGTCAGTGCAAATTTTCCAGCTAGTGGCCGGTGTCCAATCTCATTTTCAGAGGCACAAATGTAAAAATGGCAGGAGGATTTAGCACAAGTGTCTGCCTGCAATACGGCATCTCAAAAGATAAAAGCTCCAGTGCCCAAATTCCTATGTAATTTGCACTTGCTTCATGGCCAAAGCAGCATTAAAATTCTGAGGAGTTTTCATAGTTTTTTGGAAAGAAATCAAATCCCAAACCATTGGCAAAGTGGAAGAACACGGAGATGCTTCCCGGAGACAGGATGGAGGGACTACATAACCTTAAGATGGCCACGCTGGGACAGAACAAACACTGATTTAGACCCAGTAATCCTATCTCCAACAGCAGACAGGAAACACGAAAAAACACGAAAAAGTCATTCCCCATTTCGCTGTATGATTTTACGATTCTAACTTTGCAGAAGTTTCCTTGCTCAACATCTCCTTTCCACGCTTAGCCTGGGGTCGCCCTATCTGAAGTCTCCCATCACTCAGAACATCCCAGTTGCTCTTCTGTGCACTTCTCTAACTCTTCTACATCCTTTCTGAGCCAGAGAGAACACCACTTTACCTTCTTCTCCTGTTCTATTTCAATCTCACTTTTGTGATGCTCCAGTGCTTTGGCCACGGCTGCTTCAAATGCTTTTTTATCTTCAAGTTTCTGCTTCTCCAGGGCTGACTCGATGTGCTGCTGTTCCCTCACTCGCTGCTCCGCCAGCTCCTTGTTTAACTGGTCGATGCGACGATGGGCGTGTGCAATGAGAGAATTTAAGTCGTCTGTC